GGTCTGTCCGCGGGTGACGGCCTGTCCGCGGGTGTACTGGTCTGTCCCGGGGTGACGGTCTGTCTGTGGGTGAAGGTCTGTCCCGGGGTGACGGTCTGTCTGTGGGTGACGGCCTGTCCCCGGGTGTCGGTCTGTCCGCGGGTGACGGCCTTTCCCCGGTGACGGTCTGTCTGTGGGTGACGGCCTGTCTGTGGGTGACGGCCTGTCTGTGGGTGACGGCCTGTCCGTGGGTGACGGCCTGTCAGCGGGTGACAGTCTGTCTGCAGGTGGCGGGTGACGGTCTGTCTGTGGGTGACGGTCTGTTCACGGGGTGACCGCCCTCTCAGGCTCAGGATCTCAGACTCTTGCCTAAGGAGACGTCTACGACCGTCTGCCTGGCGTCATATCTCGCCAGGGACATGGAGGCTGAAACAGCAGTGAGACTGAGAGCACACGTGTCGGGACGGCCCGAATCCAGGGCACTACCCCTCGTGCTGGGGACGGAGCATCAGGGCCTCGGCGCTGGGGGGGGAACGGTGCCGTGCAGCTGGGTCCTGTCTCACAGAACCAAGCAGACGCAGCACACAGCCCGGCAGTCAGGCTCCACAGTAAACGTTCAGGGAGTTAAAGCCCACGTCCACAGACCTGCACATGGACGTGTGCAGCAGCTTCCCTCTAATCGCCCCAAACCGGAGGCAGCCACGGCGCCCTCACCAGGTGGGGGATAAACACACCGTGTCCATCCAGACCCCGGACACCCTTCTGCCTGAAAGGAAATGAGCGGTCGCACCAGGGAAGACGGGGAGGAACCGTCAGTGCTGTGCCTCCGGGCAGAGGCCAGTGTGAAAGGCTGCCCACTGTCACCCACCCCGTGCGTCCTGGTCACCGGGGCGGCTGAGCGGACGGAGCACGAGGGCTCCAGGTTCTCCGTGAGACTGTGTGGTGGGCACTTGGTGCAGATCCACAGGGCGACCCTCGTGGACTCTGGGTGGTGGTGACGGCGTCTCCCTTCTAGGGGTGCTGGTGGGGGCGATGGGGCGCGTGGGAAATGTCTGGACCATCTGCTCAGTTTTGCTGTGAACCTAAAAGGCTCTAAAAATCTTTTTTAAAAAAAGAAATAACAACAGGGAGCCCATTACCTTTTCCCATGAGGTGGGAGGGACAGGCTTGGCCAGGAGGTGGACGAGGGCGGGGGAGGGTGCTCCCGGGGAGGGCCGCCGGGGCTGTCCGGGGGTGTGGCCAAGCTTCACGCTTCCTCCCGCTGGCTGGGTGGGCGAGGCCCGGTGCTGAGCGCCTGGCCCCGCTGACCCGGCGTCTTTCCCGCCAGCTGGACATCTTATGCAACGAGGAGATCCTGGGCAAGGACCACACGCTCAAGTTCGTGGTCGTCACGCGGTGGAGGTTCAAGGTGAGGCCTGATGTGTTTGATTTTTAGAATCTGCTACGACCGTCAGCACTTGCTGTGCACATTCTTCCATCCTCACCCGAGGAGCTGTTCACCGATGTGTTTAGAGAGAGAAACATGCTCAGCTGCCTCCCGTATGCACCCGACCGGGGACTGACCCACAGCCTTCCAGTGCACGGACGACGCTCCGCCCGGAGCCACGACAGGCCTGCACCTCTTCGTCTGAGAGTTTAGAGATAAGGGTTCAGGCGCAGGAGCTGTGAAGCGCAGCCCAACTGCCTCCCGCGCCCCTCCTGGCGGCATGGGGGGGGTGCCGCTGCCGGGGCGCCCCCAGCCTTCCCTGGGCTCTTTGTGAAGGTGGGAGCAGGTGGGCGGCGCCCTGTCCTCTGGGGAGGGGCCCTCAGAGGTCTGAGACGGGGCCAGGAGCCCGCACCCTCCGCTCGCCCTCCCTCCCCTGGGCGCCCGCGCGCCGCTCTGGCCCAGCTGAGCCGTGCGTGGCCCCGCGGCCTGTCTTACAGAAGGCGCCCCTCCTGCTGCACTACAGACCCAAGATGGACCTGCTGTGACGTGCAGACGGCCCGGGCACGGAGCACGGGCGCGGACCCGAGGCCCGGGACCAGACTTCTGCACAGAGAATATTTATCACTTTTGTATGAGAGTTCACACTCGACAAGACACTACCAGCAGCTCGGTGACAGGTGGCGACACACTTCACAGGCTCACGCGGCCGCCGGCCCTCACGACCCTCAGCTCTCAGCTTCACGGACCCGCGGCCTCCCAGGTCTCCAAAATCTCGGTCGTTTCCATTTAGTTTATGAATTAGGTTCATGACAAAAACACGTGCTCATTGGTCCTCACTAAGCTTTGAAAACACGTTTTCCTGGCGGATGATGACTTTCTGTTGCCTTTAGCTCCCGGGAGATCGACAAGAATTCACTTTAAGAGCAAAACAAAAGAGGCTGCCACTCGGTGCGGTTCCCGCGTGTGTGATGTCCCTGTCGTGACCGGAGGGAGCCCCTGTGCGTGCACAGCCGTCTCGGTAAAGTCGCTTTGGTCACTAAACGCGACACCATCGTCAGAGCACGCTCCCTCCTGCTGAGAGGGAGCTGGTGGCCGCAGGGAGTCCCAGGCCCTCGTCCCGCTGCAGGGGGCCCGCCCCCCTCTCTGCCGGTCCCGGTGGTTCTCACCGAGCACCCGGGCCGGGCGTGGGGACAGCAACCTAACCCCAGCCCCAGGGACACCCGCTTTCTCACCCAAACGTTCATATTTTCGTGGAATTAGAGAAAAAACATTCGCCAGCACACAAACGTGTTCCTTTAAGATAGTCCCTTGGAAGGCGTGACGGCGAGCTCGGGGAGAAAGGCCCGTTCCTGTGGTCAGTGTGTCCTGGCGCTCTGGTCACTCCTACGTCCCCCGGCCCCTCCCACCGCCCCTGCCCGAGGCCTGTGGTCCCGCCCTACGCCCACCCTGCCTCTGTGCTGGGTTTTCCATGAAGTTCTCACTTTAGGGACTAGAATTTTCTCAAATTGGCTCCAGACCTGTGGCCTCAGGGGCTGCTTCCTGTTGCACGTACACAGGGTCAGGCAGCTACTGATGAGCCATAAGCGTAGAGAAAAATCTTCACATTAATTCAGTCCAAGCAATTTTAATGTAAGGCCTTTAAAACCACCAAACGCGTTAGGGATTGGTCGAATCGCTGTTTCCGCCGAGACCCCATCCTGTTCATCCCCGCGGTTCTCCGTTGCGCTCCGAGGCCTGGCGAGTGGATGTGTGTGAGCAACTATGACCTGTCTACCTCAAAACGCACATTGCCGCTGGCGCATCTGTCGGACCCAGGACCCCAGTGCGGTCTCCGGGCCTAGGGGGTGGGGTTCCCGTGGGGTGAAGAGGGGTGAACGGCGTGAGTGTCACCTTCAAACACCTGGTTCCCGCTCAGACCGGGCCGACTGTGTCTGCAGCCGCCCGACGCACATCGTGACCTGTAGCTCTCTGTGCGACCACTTGAATTTGCTATGGTGCTAAGCTGATACCTTGAGAGGTGCCGGGGCCGGCGGGTCCACGCCGCTGGCTCGGCCGCTCTTCTGGCCGCGGGACCTGGGGAGCCCCAGCAGCAGCAGAGCCTATTTTTCTACGATTTCCTCGTGAGACTGTTCACGCAGACGGCGGGACCTGCCTGGTCGGACCGCAGCCCGTGGACTCGGCTGGGGAGGCTGATGCACTTTCTCCTGCGTGAGAGGCGGGTCGGAGGGGCAGGCCGCGGGTGTCCCGGGCGGAGTTCCCGGGCGTCTCCCTCCCGTGTGCGCGGCTGGCACGGCCGCTCAGCGCCTGCGCCCTCAGCAGCCGTGGGACTCACCGTGCGGTTTTCACGAAAACAAAATTCAGATAGAATATATAATATGGAATTTAAGATTTGGGGGGTTGGAAAAGAAAACTTAACTTTATAAAATTATTTATTCTATTTTAAGCGTTCTATCCTGTTTTCCCATCAGCCATCTGGTTCGTGCCGCTTTGTTTACAGGCATATAAGGTGAAAGGGATGTTCTGCAAGCTTCCTCCTTCCTTTCGGGCGTCGCCCTGTGTTTCCGTTTGTGCGGGTGAGGAGCGTCGTTATGCGTTTATGCTTTTGTGCAATAGGCTCCACGCGTGCTGCCCGGCGGCGACTGGGCGGGAATGTCCGTGGGTCCCAACCTGCACACGGAGCTACTTGGGTTTCCTTTTTCGTTGTTGTGATGAGAATGCTGTTCTCGGTGACGCACAGCCTGTCAGCAACGTTACCAACAGGTGCCCGGCAGGCAGGCAGCCGCGTGCGTGGGGCCTCGCACCCGGACCCCGCGTGCTCAGGCCCTGGCACACCACCCCCACCCCCCGGCGGCCCAGATGTGGGGTGCAGTCCCAGGCCCCGAGCCCTCGGGCATCCCTGTTAGGAGTCCTGACCACCGTCTGGCGCCTCAGCACACGGCTGTGCCGCTGATTTGAAGTATCATCAGGTTGAACGTTCTAGGAGCAAGCCAGCGGGTTTCTGTGATGTGTGTCACTATTGGATGTGCCCTCAAAACGGGAAATCACGCCAGTGCAGACAGCAGTCCGTTTCTCTTTCCTCAGGAGCCCATGTGCACCCCACACGTCACCTGTGCCCTCAGCCCATAAAGTGTGTGTCTGCCTCGGTTCGCAGCGCACGGAGGGCACTGGGATGCGCGGATGAGAAAGGGTTCAGGCTGCACCTTCCCGCGAGGCGCCTGCCGGGCAGGGAGGGCCACGCCCCACATCAGGGTGTCCCCACGGCTTGTTGGGTGTAAGAAAACCACGTTCTCCCAGTCGGTGCGGGTTCGGGCGGAGCCTGCCATCTGCAGCGACACGGCTGCCATGGGTTATGGGATGGCAATGCGGATGCATATTTTTGTTTAATTTGAAAGTTTACATTTTTATGCTTTGTGTTGTTGTGTAACTTTTGTACTATTGGTGGCTAGTTTTGTCTAAAATCTTTTTTGGAATATTGCTTAAATGTTTTGATTTTATGACAGTGAAGCTTGTATTCAGTGTTTTGCCAATTAATATTATATGCTTGTAATAAAAGCAAAGGAAACAACGGTCTCTCTCAGGCTGGGAGCTTATCATCGACAATCTTTGTAAGAGCCTAAGGTGGCCGTGGGCAACCAGGCTGCAGGCCCTGGTCTGGATCCCGGGTCCAGGCCTTCGCCCGCGGCTCCACGCACACCTAGGAGCAGAGTCCTGTAAAGGGCCCCGGGATGGGGCCGGTTTGGCGGGAAGGTGGTGAGTGCTTGCTTGTGGGAGGCCGGCCCAGGCAGGGGTGAGCTCGTCAGCCGGGCTCTGCGAGGACCAGACCCCACAGGAGCCCAGACACACACGCGGGTCTGTGGACGTGGATTCCCCCGAGGAGTCTGTGCACAGGACGTGGAGGCCCGGAAGCCCGGGAGGGCGCAGGCCGCGCACCCAGGGGCCAGAAGACCGCCTCCAGCTCGGCCATCAGGTGGGCAGCGGCCCCTCCCACTCGGCCTCTTGGCTCTGTCCGGGCCTGCGGGGGCCGAGCGGTGCCCACACGTTGGGGAGGCTCAGCTCATCCAAAGCAGCCCCCACACCCAGAATAGTTTTAATCTGGGCCCCAGGGGCCCCTCATGTTCCCATGAAATTCCCATCCGACCATTTGGAGGGGAGAGGGCCTGTGCTCAAACACCTTAATTTTTTTTTTTAAACATCAATGTGAGAGAGACATATTGACTGCCTCCCATATGCACCCGACCCCGACCGAGGTCAGGGGGTCCAGCCTGCAGCCGAGGTACACGCCCTTGACTGGAATTGAACCGGACCTTCAGTCTGCAGCTGAAGCTCCATCCACTGAGCCAGCCCGGCCAGGGCAAAAAAAGCTTAATTTTTAAAATAGCTTTTCTATTACAGTTGATGTACAATATTGTATTAGTTCCAAGCATACAATCCAGTGATTAGATGTTTATATAACTTACGAAGTAATTTTCCCCAAAAAAAGTCAGTGCCCAGCTGGCACCAACACAACATGAAGGGAAAGAACGAGGTCGGAGGATAGGTTGGCACTGCCCGCTCCCCGCTGACGGTGCGGTGACAGCCGTGTGGCGTTGGTAGAAGAACCACACACCAAAGGAACAGAAGAGAGAGGCCAGAGAACGACCCCCCAAAGACGCACAGGGGATAAAGGCAGCCTCCCCACAAATGTGCCGGTTCCAAAAAATACCGAGTAAACAGGCCTTACACCTTCCTCGATGATGAACTCAAAATGGATTGCAGACCTGCCCCAGCCGGTGTGGCTCAGTGGATAGAACGTTGGCCTGCAGACTGAAGGCTCCCAGTTCGGTTCCAGTCAAGGGCACAGGCCTGGGTTGTGGGCTTGATCCACAGTGTGGGGCGTGCAAGAGGCAGCGGATCCATGGTTCTCTCCCATCACTGATGTTTCTATCTCTCCCTCTCGCTTCTTCTCTGAAATCAATAAAAATATTTTTTAAAATAATAAAAAAATGGATTACAGAGCTAATGTAAAATACAAAATTATAAAATTCCTAAAAGATAACGGGAAACTCTAAATGACCTTGGGTTTGGCAATGAGGTCTTTGATAGGACACCACATGTATGAAAGAAAAAAGCAGTAAGTTGGGCTTCATTAAAAGTAAAAGGTTCTGCTCCGGGAAAGACAGTTAAGAGAATGAAAAGACAAGCCTCAGACGGGCAGAAAATATTTGCAAGTCACTGATCCTATATAATAAAAGCCTAATATGCTAAGTGTCCGGTCATCCGTTCCACCAATCAAAGTGTAATATGCTAATGATATGCTAAGGCCGCTCAACCGCTCACTATGATGTGCACTTACCACCAGGGGGCAGACAGTCAACGGGTTGACCAGTCGCTATGACGTGCACTGACCACTAGGAGACAGACCCTCCGATTGGTAGGTTAGCTTGCTGCTGGGGTCTGGCCGATTGGGACTGAGTGAGACAGGCCGGACACGCCCTGGAGCCCTCCCGCAGCCCCTCCCTGACTGGCCAACCTCCTGCGTCCCTCCCTGGCTCCGATTGTGCACCCCTCCCTCAGCCTGGCCTGTGTCCTCTCGCAATCTGGGACCCCTCGGGGGATGTTGGAGAGCCGGTTTCGGCTCGATCCTGCAGGCCAGGCCGAGGGACCCCACTAGTATCTGATAAAAGACTGTCATCCAAAGTATACAAAGAACTCTTAAAACTCAAAAATAAGAAATCAACTCAATTAAATGTGTGCCAAAGACCTAACAGATATCTCGCCAGAGAGACACACAGATGGCAAAGAGCCCATGAATGAATGCTCAGAATGATGTTCTCAGAATCCTGCACATGAGAGTAATGAGCCGCCTGTCAGAACGGCCAGGACCCAGGACACTGACACCACTGCTGGCGGCGTGCTGGTGGGTGTGACGTGCGGCCACCTTGGCCACTTGGCTGTTTTATGACGAAACTAAACATACTCTTACCATGTGACCGAGCAGCCTTAGTATTTATCCAAATCACTTCTGTCCACACGACTTTTCACAGATGCTTAGAACAGCGTTACTCAGTCTCGAAAAACTTGGAAACAACCAAGCTGTGCCCTGCAGGTGAGTGGACTATGTCACATCCAGACAGAAAGAAGAGACGGCTCTCGGGCCGTGCAAACATGTGGAGGAACCTTAACCGCATGTCACTGAGTGACAGGCCAAGGCGAGAGCTGCACGGGCCTGACTCCAGCTGCGACACGTCCCGCAAAAGCCATGCCTTCAGGGCCGCGGCGGGAGGGTCTGCAAGGAGGGACGGGCAGGTGGAGCTGGTCTGGGTGACGCGATGTCCTGGACCCATGTCACACCTTTGTCCAACCCACGGAATGTACCGGAACAAGAATGAGCTCTTAACGATGGACTGTAGTTAGTAGCACCGTATCCTTGGCTCCACTAGTGGAACATGCTCAGCAGAGGGGAGACTGAAGGGAATGCTGGGTACGTTCCACTCCGTTTTTCTGTGAACCTAAAACTGCTCAATATAAAGTCTATTGATTTTTTCACGACGACAACAACCCAGCAGTTTGAAACGACAGAAGATTCCAACGAGGCGTCTGGGAGGAAGATGGGCAGTGGCCGCAAACACTGGAAAGAGAGTCAGGGAAACGCACACGAGCCAGAGGAGCTCCCATGCCGACCCCCCAGGACTGAAACGTTAAGACTTTATGGACTGGCCTTGGCCGGTGTGGTCCAGTGGATAGCGCACCGGCCTGCAGACCGAAGGGTCCGGGTTGGATTCCGGTCAAGGGCACGTACCTGGGTTGCAGGCTCCTCCCGCCCAGGCCCTGGTGCAGGAGGCAGCCCATGGATGTGTCTGTCTGTCTGTCCCTCTCTCTCCCCCCGAAAGTCAATGGGAAAGAACAGTAACCCGTGTCTTTCCGAGGAATAACGGGCACGGCAGCCGGGGATGCAGTGGCAGCAACTGCACAGCCCCCTCCTCTCGCCCCTCCAGCGCCGCCGGGGCTCCCGGCCCCACGGCCCGGACCCCACGGCC